CCCGGCGGGGCGGGAGGTGCATCGCTCACGCTCCGTCCTTGTCTCAGCTGGCCCTTCCTCGCCCCCCCGGCTGCGGCGCGGTGTGCAGGCGGAGGGGAGAAGCCCCAGAGGAGACGGAGGACGGGGCTGGTGGCTCGGGTCCCCGGACGGTCCTTTTGGCTCCCGGTTATGAAGCTCAAACCGTGCCCCACTCCCCAAACCCCTCCTCCGCCCAGGCAGGATGGAGCCATTCGGTGCTGATAATAGCGCCGGGGTGGGAGCGTGAGCAGCACTTTCAAGTCTTGTCTGGTCATTGGAGATTGAGGTGTACCCATCTTACACAGCACCAAACAGACAGCAGAAATATTCTGTTCACAAGTCTTCACTGTTTTATTCTATTGTAGAAGGTGTTGTCATGAACCATTATATGTAATCTGGAGCCCTAACAAGCAAGACATAAAAACATTACGAAGTAGAGACATAAAATATCAACCTCTCTTTCGCAGCTGTGCTCATATGACCAAAATATGTTCTAATAAACAGGTCAGTGGTATGTAAATCTTCTTACAAGGCACTGAAGGTGAAAAAATTGTAATTTAGTTGGGCTCATATAGCTAAACAACAGCTATGTTATAGCAACATTATAATCTCCCCAAAGCATTATGGGATAACATGAAATCATTCTTCTGCAAGAGAAGGATAAATAACACTTTCATCAAAATATCTTCTCCTGTATTGGGTAGGTCAAACCAGTTAATAGTGTTAATCATCCAGACTCAGGAAAAGAAGGCAGTTTAAGAACACCCCAAAGAACGGGTGAACCACCCAGAGTCTTCTATTTCATTTTTTTCACGTAGGTTTCTTTTTTTATTATTTATTTATTTTTAAGGCAACAGCCCTGCAACTTGGGTCCCCCTGTGTTTCAGTGCAGCATTATCATGTGCAAAGTCAAAGCCAGCAGCGGAAGGAAGAGAGAACGGGAACGCTGGTGAGCACTGCTGGTGTCTGTGCGGGTGTGGCTGGACCGCCCGTGGCCCCGGGGCTGGGATTCCACCGTGATGTAGCCATTAATGATGCGGATCCGGGGAGGATGGTCGGTAGCACTGCAAGGCAAGAGAAGAACATCAGTCCAGACCCAGCCCAGAACTGCCCAACAGCCACAGAGCAGGAGGTGGTCAGTCTCTGTTCCCCACTGTTAGTCTTCTGGGTTCACGGGAATGGTCTCTTGTACAAGTTACACTCTCACCAAAAGTCTTTGTCTCCTAATGGCAGAGTGCTGTCTTGTCCCTTCCTCACAAGCGTGGGCAGCTCCCGTGCCAGCCCACAAGGACGAGGGTGCTACCCGGCTGAACTACGGAGTAGTCTTGAAGAGCAACAAGCAAGAGAGATTGAGGAGGGTGAAAACACCAGGAAAATACCTGCCCTGTCTCAGGTCTACCCAGCCTGCCCATTGCTCCCACAATCAGTCAGGAGGGTAAGATGACCATATTCCTAGTGCCTTTCAGCTAAGCAGTAAATATATAAGAACAATACAAGCGTTGTTGCAGAGGAGTGTTGCTGGAGTGAGATATCCTTTCTCAACTGAGTACATCTTCCTCAGCCATGCTTCATGCATCTTAGCGTGGACCAAACTTGTTTTTATACTTCCACAGGTCATGAATTACAAAGAGATTGCATGTCATACTTTAAGGAGAGGAAAAGTCACATCCAGAAGCACGTCCTAGAGTCACCAGGAAAAATCACCACATTCCAGAGTATTTCCCATGAAAGTGAGTACTCTGACGTGGTGATAAACAAGAACTGAATCAGAGCCCACATGGTGCTGAATTCCCATTATGGCAATACATGACAGAGGAGAGAAAACTCTGTGCTGTAGGTTGCTAATGTGAACTGTCCCGAACTGGGGGAGAGCACATACTGCAGCAAGCCGAGAGTCAGAAGGGTCACACGCAACACTGGTGTTGTTCTCCTTGGCGATGGACTGAAAGCAATACTTGATCCCATAGCTGTAGGGCTGACATAAACCCCAGGGCCTCCTGGTGCTCTGTGGAACCTGAAGACAAATTTGGATGAAACTAAAAGCAAGTCCACCTGGCAAATACAAAAGCTGCTGCACCAGCTGCTGTTCATCATTCTTGTCTTATTTTGGCCCATTAAGCAAAAATATGCTTTGGGAAACTGAAGGCAATTAGTATCCTTTTTAAAAACATTTACTCTTCCTTACCCGAAGGGTTCCCCTGAAGATTTGAACAATAGCTGGAGTGAAGCCAGCTGGCAGCACATCAAAGAAGTACAACTGGCAGCTAATGCGTACAGGGGCACAAACCAAAGCCATTCTGCCAAGCCCACTACAAGACTGTATTAAAATCCCTTGAGCTGCACCTTTCACATTTTCAGGCTGACAGAAGGAATTGCAGAACCATTTGGGTTGGAAAAGACCTTTAAGATCATCGAGTCCAACTGCAAACCTGAAAGCTGTGAATGCCCTGGCAAAAGGAACCTGTGCCTGAGCACCCCGAGGAATGGTTAGAGCAAGGGCTGAGGCTCCCAGCGAGACGTGCCCTGCAGACGAGCCAGGCTGAGCCCAGAGGTGTTGGATCTCCGCGGGAACAGACGCGGCTGCTCCACGAGGTGGGGCTGTCAGCTCATCCCACGCCTGCCCGGGAGCCTGGGCAGAGAGAGCGGAGACAACCCCTGCTTTACAGAAACCCAGCGCACGGACGGGCTTTGTGCCCGACTGGCAGCCGCTTTCCCTCGGCAATCTCCCAGGCATCGCTTGTCTTTCCCAGTACTGTCATGCAGCAGCTCCACGTCCAGACGTTCAAGCTCTCTGCTACTAAGGGCTCACCCCTAAAATTAATCTGTCACCTAGCATCTGGATAAGTTTCTAGCGCAAAGGATGGCTTAATTAGCAGGGGAAGAAAGGAAACATTCTGAAAGAAAAGAAAGAAAAATGGCATTTGCTGCTCTCATATTTGTGCAGCAGTTTCCTAAGCTGCCGTATTAGCTTTGCTTTTGCTGCACTACTGCCTAGCAGTACTTGCAAACCAGTATGTAGCCTTAATGTACCTCCAATTTAATCCCAGTAGCACATCTTCCCATCTTCCCTCATCTTCTGAAGGCACTGATACTGCAAGTGCACACGTATCTCACAGTCACTGCCCACTGACTTCCCTGAGCTTTGTGGGAAAAACTGCACGTGAAAACCTGAACATGTCACAGCAGAGGCAGGGGGGAGCTTAAGGCAGTCAGTCCTTACCATTTCAACTAAACAGTCTATGAACAGAAACTCCCAAAACCCATTCGCAATCAGCTGATAGCAACTGCATTAATAGAAAGTAAATGATGCAAGGTTATCTGACAGGAGGGAAACATTAAGGTATACATCAGCCACAGGCCCAAGTATAGGTAGTGAGGGAAAAGTTGGCTTTTTTTTTTTTTTGCAGGCTGCTGTAGTACTTGCAGGTAAGTAAGCTCTTCTGTATAACACATAACTAAGGGTTATGTGTGGACCTTTGCCCCACAGCACACTCAGTTTTTTATATTAACTCCATCATCCACTAGGCTGTTGTGCTTTTTGAGACTGGAAGAATACGGAGACTGGAAATACTGCATGAATATTGTCCAAATGCAAGGAGTACATATGTCAGGTATGACAGTTTCCACACATGCAGCAGTTCTTGGATAACAGCCCAAGACTTTGACCTGTACCAACTACCACTGGACCGACCCTTCTGTGATAGAGAGGACTGCCATACACTCACAATTCCTCTAGATCATTCCAGTGCAAAATGATCTAGACAAGGCTTCCACTTGTTTTGGGCCTCATTTTTCACAAACCTAACCATGGGGAGGAAAAAAAAATGCTATTTTGTCACTAAAAGCACAAGCAGTCTTGTGTAAAGTTTTCAGAAAGAATCATGGTGAGGGAGAAGGTCAGATCCCATCCTCAGGGTGTATCTAGCCCCAGCAGAGGTTCGGTGGATCAAATTAAACAGTCTAAGTAAAGCCCATTCTGCATGACAAACCATCCCCCCTCCCCAGCCCTGAACTACCTTTCTTCCAGGCGAACCCAGAGGTCGTTAAACTGTCGCAATCTGCGTTTCTTCTGTTGCTGCTTCTTCTTCTTCTTTTTGTACTTCCTGTCTACCTTATCCAGCACATCGATGCTGTCAGGCAGTAGCAGGTGAGGCAGGAACTCTTCCTTCTCCTCCTCCTCCTTCTGGGGGTGCAATGGCAGTGGGAGCTCCTGGGACGTGGCATAGGGACTGTGTGATGATGAAAAGGCTAACAAGGTTTTGGGAGATTTTTGGCTGGAAGAAAGAGGGAACACAGACAACATTTGAAAGGGCTTTGAGGCAAAATCATGATACAGATACTATCAAGGCACATGTATATAAAATAGGTGTTTCTCCCTGACATATTGGCTGGATGCTCATTTCCCTGCCTTATATTTCTGCCCCTTCTTTCTTAAGTCAATATTCTGATCAAAATAGTTCTCTTTAACAAAAAAAAAAAAGCTTTGGAAAAGCGGCAATCTGGATCTGAGGAAAGAATGCAATCTGGCTCAGGGCGGAATAACTCTTGGTAATAAGTTTACCTACTTAGAAAGAGACAAAAATGGAATCACCCTCAAAATCAGAGAAGGTCAAACCTCGCTCCTTTGGTCTACTACACATCCTCTGCTGTACTGCAGAACACAGACCAGATTATCCCTTTCAGCATTTCCTGCCCAGAGCCAAGTAACTCTGGGGAAGTGGCAGAGACAAAATGACTAAAGCCCACTAAGTGATGAAGCCAGTCCTGGATCAACAACTCTCACTGGTAGCTAAAAAGCAGATTGTGGTCATGGCTACAGAAATGCATCTTGCAAAATTACTGTCTTTGAAGGGAATAGCTCAAGATACCATTAATGGTAATGGGAGACCTGGCTACCCTGGACAAAGAGAAGGCTGAGGTTCTCAACAACTTCTGTGCCTCATTCTTCAACAGCAAGGGCCCCAGGCATACCACTGAAGTCAGGAAAGACTCGGAGAATGAAGACCCCAAGCTCACTGTAAGAGAGCATCAGGTTCAAGACCATCTAAGGAATCTGGATTTGCACAAGTCTGTGGGACCTGATGAGATTCATCTGCATGTCCTGAGAGAGCAGGCAGATGAAGTTGTTGAGCCACTATCCAGTTTCTGAAAAATTGTGGTAGTTAGGTGAAGTTCCTGAGGACTGGAAAAAAGGAAATATAACTTCCATTTTTAAAAAGCAGAAAGCAGAAGACCCAGGGAACTACAGACCAGTCAGTCTCACCTCTGTGCCATGCAAGATAGCAGAGCAGATTCTTCTAGAAACTATGCTAAGGCACATGGAAAACAAAGAGGTGATTGGTAACAGCTAACATGGCTGGAGAAGAGAAGGTTGCATGGAGACCTCACAGCAACATTCCAGTATCTGATGGGGGCCTATGGCTACACAGCTTCCTGCAAAGGTGATAAACTGAAAAAGCCAACAATCAGCTCCATGCTAATTACTGAAGCTCTGTTTCTTTATACTTAGAGCAAACAACGTCTCTATTCACTCACAACTTTGCTGGCCCACACTTCTCATTGTCTGGAACAAAGCAATTTGCCCTCTTCTTTATGAGCATCTTGGGCAAACCTACAAGCTCAATCCACTCTGAGTGCACAGAGAACCCAACAGGAATATCTGACCCATCTTTATGGCTATGTAAAGAGAAGAGAAGAAATCCCATCTGTAAGAAGATTAAATTGGAGACTGGCTTGGACTGAAATTCAGAATGGTAACAGAAAACCTGTGTTGGTTTCAGCTGGGGTAGAGTTAAGTTTCTTCATAGTGGCTAGTACAGGGCTATGTATTGGGTTTCTGCTGAACACAGGGTTGATAGAGATGTTTTTGTTGTTGCTGGGTGGGGCTAGAAGAGATCCAGGGCCTTTTCTGCTTTTCATGCTGCCACGCTGACAGGGAGGTTGGGAGGAGACACAGCTGGGACAGGTGACCCAAACTGACCACAGGGATATTCCATACCATATGAAATCATGATCAGTATATAGAGCTGTGGGGAAGAAAGAGGAAGGTGGGGCATTTGGAGTGATGGTGTTTGCCTTCCCCAGTAACCATTACATATGATGGGGCCCAGCTCTCCTGGAGCTGGCTGAACACCTGCCTGCCTACAGGAAGCAGTGAATTAATTCCTTGTTTTGCTTTGCTGGTGTGTGTGGCTTTTGCTTTCCCCATTAAACTGTTTTTATCTCAAGCCATGAGTTTTCTGGCTTTTCCCCTTTCAATTCTCTCCCTAGTCCCTCTGGTGGGAGAGTGAGCAAGCAGCTGAGCGGGGCTTGGCTGCTGGCTGGGGTTAAACCATAACAAAACCACAGACCATTGGCAAGAAACGTGGCTTTAAAAACTGAAATCTTCTCAGAACTGTGTTCTCTTTCCAGTTTCCAGTGGCACAAAAAGGAGGAGGTCAAGAAGGGACATGTTTCAGGATGGCTGCAGTTTTCAAGCTAGCCCATCACTGGGTGCACGTTTATTTGATGGTGAATGAAAAGAGTCCTTCCTGGAGAAGGAGGAATAAAATTGTAGACTGAAACATGAAAGCAAGAGCAGATGGAAAACAAAGATAATTTGTCTTATTTCCTACCAGGAAAATCATAGACTGGTCACATGGTAAAGTTTATTTGACAGAGACTGATGCAGAATGGGCCTTAGGCTATCAATCTCTTTCAAAATCCTTGAGACTGTCACACTCTGTCACACTTTATCACCTCTGAACTATCACAACCCTTCAGCTCTCCTCTTCAGCTGCCTCACATCACCTGCACTTTAACTCCACCTTACAGAGTGATCCCCCACTAGCTGTCTCCGCTCACCTGATTTGTATCTGCTTGAAGGCCCTCTGCCTAGGATTCCCTTTTCCCCATCTTCTCTTCACTGTGTTTGTTCTTTAATTGTCTAAGTCACAGCAGGGAGAGGAGTGGGCACCCCTGCTCCACTGTAGACTAGAGTGCCATGCTGTCTGCAGCCATCCCCACAGAACTCATGGCCATATCATGCTGGAGCTCAGCACTGCTACAGGTACAGGATGAGCTGCATCCTGCATGGCCAGCCATTTGTTGTGGTAGATGCAGCCTCAGACAGTATTATTAGACACCCATGTACATAACCTCCTTTGCAACACTTCCTGCAGGCAGTTCATCCAGGGACCGAATAAGCAACCACTGGAAAAGGCACACAGATGCAGAAGGATGTCCTTCCTCCCCCAGGCCAGTTCCTTCTCCCAGCAAAGCAGCTAAGGGAGGAGTCAGGAAGCACCTTAATTATGGCTGTGATTGTGATGACTGTTTTACAATATATAAATGCATTCCAAAGTCAGGAACAACATTTAAAACCAGAAGGAGCTTAATTGAACTTGTGGTACCATTCATAAACTGTCTTTTGCACTGCTGCCTTGTTGGAGAACCTCTTTTGCCTTCCCTGCTTTGGAGACAGCAGGGAGAAGGAACCCTTTTACCTCCACCAGGGGCATTCATCCCATCCCATTTCCCCTGCACACCTCAGGCAGCCCTGTCTAAAGGTGAAATTGTGTTACTGCACACAGTCATTTGCCTGCTACAGGAAAACAAGTATAACAATCCTGTATCTTTCTTGGTTCCTACATACAGATATCTACAAGATACCTCACAAGAGACTTTTTGTTTAGCCAGAGCACAGGAAGCAGCAGACTGTGCTGCTACTGCACAATGTCATGTTGCAGGGAAGGGAGACAACTGCAGACTTCCTTCTTCTTGTGTTTTACAACATCTCAGCCCCACTGTATCCAACACCAGAACAGTTGCTTGAATTCTCTGTCTCAGTTCAACTACTTGACATTTTTTTCCTCTCTCAATTTTGTATGGTAAAACAGTCCACAGGCACTGTCTGGACTGTGTGCAGCACTGCTGTCTAGGACAATGGCTGGATACGGTTCCACACTTATGTGGCTAGACTGGGTTTACTGTCACAGACTGCCCTGTTATTTCTCCTAGAACAAGCCCAGGATAGCAATCAAGGGAAATCCTCTATCCAGTTCCTAGAACTCTGACACATGCTTGCCACAGGTCTTTCCCCCATGTCATATACTCTTTTCTTTTTTCTTGAAACATATTTCATATTTTTAAATATATTTCCAAGTCATCCAGAAACATTAATAGTGAAGTGCCATCTTCTTTAGCTTATTCAGTCAGCTTCAATATCAAGACTCCAGGAAAGATGTTCTATCCAGTAGTTCCAATGAGAGGTTTAAGATGCAACTCATGCCAAACTGAGGGCTTTCAAAGGCACAAGACTCACTGGCTGGACAATGAACTCCCATGATGTGGTCAGAGAATTGGGTGCCAGCTACCCCAAGTGTTCTTGATACCAAACTTCCTGATGAGTTAAAATCTATCCCTCCTTTCCATAATTGTCTGCCTTTGATTTCTTTACAACCACATCTTTACAGAGAAGTATCAGATCTTGTTTATTCTGAAGTACCTATTAAGCTGTCTTTCTTTAAGCTTTAAGAAGCTGCTACAGCAGTTTTTAGGAATACCTAAGCTAAAAGTGAGAAAACCAACACGAGAATATCAATGCAAACTGTTTGGTTTTCTTGTTTGTTTGTTTGTTTTAATAAATCCTTCAAACAATGATACACTGGATTTTCTAGAATGATCCAAGTGTTACAGAATCAATAAGTCTTATACTTAAGCACAGGGGCCTTCTCCTTATCAGACCACCTGCCCATTGGTGGCAACAGGGCTAGAGGCTGGCATTCATATATGAGTGGGGATAAGTCTTGGCTCAGTTTTTTTCAGTGCATGTGTAGTTAATGATATATGTCCATGCCAAGAATCATCACAAAAATATGATCTGCCAGAGTTTGAATCTTATGGTTTTAGACAGCAGCAAAAGTGATGTAAAGAGAAAGGTGAAGTAACAAGAGTATGAGAAAAATATCTATTATTTTGTACCACATCTGTGGAGCCCTTGGCACAGACCAAGACTCTTCTCTGTGCTCTCTGCACAAAAGCTGATGGTCCTGTCTGAGAGCATCATATCAGAATTGTGGGGGAGGAGGAACAGAGATGTAAACAGAGAGGAACAGCATGCTTGGCACAGAAGGTAAAAAGAAAACAGCACCATAATTGGGACCAAACCTTTTCTCCATTGTGGTCTTCTAGCAGTGACTACAAGGAGGAGTGGGCATAGCTGACAGACACGTATTTGGTAAGATTCTGGAGAAGGGGGAGACAAGGATTGCAGATCCTAAGCTGGTGGCAAGAATTCCAGGAAGAGGTGACTCAAAAGCACATGTAATTCTCAGCAGAGAGTGGAGGAGGAGATTATCTGGCATCTGTAGTTACTGAAACCATGGAGATGGATAAAAGCATCCAGTGAGAGATAAAAGAGGCAGTAAGGGTATATCCCAAAGGACAGGATGAACCAGAACAACAAGTACCTTGGCTTAAAAATGCAGAAGAGAGCAGGGGACATGAGAGCAATCAGTCATGAGCACAGCTTGCAAAGAGACTGGGTAGACTCTGGGCATTCAGATTCCAGGCTGACAGAGAGTAATCAGAAAAAATGAAAAATAGTGGTGTAAAAGAAGGACAGTAAAAGGCAGGGCACTCAAACACATAAAAGGGAGGAAGGAGAAGTGTGAAAGCCTTATGTGGTATGAGACAGCATCCAGATCTGATGTACCAAGCATGCATAGTCTGTGCTTTTCGTTTAAGAGTTCAAACTTACAGAGGAGGAAAATGTTATTTCAATTTAAAAAAACCAAACAAACATAAAACCAAAAATAACGCAAACAAACCACAAAAAAAAAGTAAACAAAATCTTGTTTCCAAACTAGCTCATGGAAGAGAAAAGCAAACTTCTGGGAAGGAGAGAAGGAGCCTAGCTGAGTGTTAGGTATAGTTCCTTCTGCCACTGCTTCTTCATGATTGTTTACAAACCCAGCCCTCAATGGCTGCTCAGCTAGGTGAAAGCATGCATTACTTGTTGATGGCTTGTCCAGCTGGAGTGTGTTCTACCTCGTACCCTTCTCTCCTCAAAACATCAATCACTGTGTTGTTGCCCATGAAGTGACCTGCAGTTAAAAGAAAAATTACATCAGAACTCAACAAGCACACAGAAAGAAGGAGAAGAACAACAAAGTCCTTCCTCATCACAGGAGGTGTGCCACACTCAGGGGAGGCAGGGCTTTATCTCTCCCCACCAGCATGCACCAGAAACACAGGATATCTAATGAGTGATTGCTGAACTTTCCCAAGGTCACTTCAAATACTACATTCTGCCTTTCTAAAATGCAGATGTGATTGCAGTTCCTCTGGTTCCCCAGGTTATTGCACAGTGGGCTGTCCAGGGAGGTGGTAGAGTCACCATTCCTGAAGGTGTTTAAGGAAAGACTGGACGTGGCACTTAGTGCTGTGATCTGATTGACACGGTGGTGTCCAGCCAAAGGTTGGACTTGATGATTCCAGGGGTCTTTTCCAACCTAATTGATTCTATGATTCTGTGATTATCAGGCCATTGTGGCTTATGTTGTGGGAACAAGTGATAAAGTTCTGACATCGCTGTTCAAGAGCAGCACTGAGCCTACAGTTGCTGGTGACACAAAAAAAGGTCAGAATATGGCCACATTTCAACACTCTCCAGCAGTTGTTCAGTTATCACTAACAATTTTTTAATTATTAAAAACCATCCAACTGTAGAGAACAAAAAATAACTCTGAAAACCAATGACTTAGGTCAACCCCTTTCATTCCTCTGTATATGCCACTGGGGTCAGGAACCTGACTTCAGTCATGTTGACAAAAGTTTTGAAAATACTTAGATAGTTCTGCCCTAATTCTGTGATTTACATCTCCACTCCATTTTCAGAGAGATGTGGTGGCCATAATTTGGCCATAAGACCATCTTTTGGCATTATAGTGCATATATGACTGCTCAAAGGGTGCAGGAGTAATGCTGTAAGGACTGTATGCTCTGCACACAGAATGTCTTCCACTGTCACTTTAACACCTCATCAGACCAGGCTGCTGAGAAGCAGATGGAGAACAAAGGCCTTGCACAGTCCCTCATAGTTCTAGCTTTCATGAAACATTTTTTCATTTAACAACCTGCATTAATTAAAATTAGCCTTGAGCAAATTACTTATTAGAGTGATCCCTTGCTTCTGCAGATGCAAGCAGTGCTAAACTTGACAAAATGTTCTCTGCTAAGATTGTTCATAAATACATGGCAATAAAACCACCAGAATTATCATAGTAGCCAGGGAAAGCAGGAAGTTATAAAGAGAATTCCAAGAGTGGTGAGATTATTAGGAGACTAAACATAATGGACTCCTGACTTTTCACTCCAAAATTGGTTCAATGAATTCGAGCACAAAATTCCACTTTCTCATGCCACAATAGCAAAGTGCTCATGAACTACCAGCTTCAGGCATGACAGTATCATGATGGTATCATCTGAGCACAGATATTTATGAAGATGAACTTTCCCCCAGAACCTAAGAACACAAACCAATCTAGCTCAAATGAAACCTTTTAACCAAGCACTGCAATGCACACCCATGGGTACCATATTTTCTCCCCTAGTAACTGGATTTTTTCCTCAGCTCCTCAGCTTATATTTTGTCTTCAGAAGGAGTAAAGCTGATGTGCTGTTATGTGAACCTAACCTAATACTGTTGATATCTGTTTCTTGCTGAATAGTTCAGCCCCAGAAATTCTCTAACTGAGAATTCCCTCATGTCAGCAAAAAGACCAGATGCAGCAGGGAACAGTAATGAGCGTAATCAAATATTGTTAATGAGTAAAATCAGCCATCAGAAAACAAACACTAGGTATAAGATGCCAGATCTACTTTCTGTCTCTCACCTTTAACACAGAGGAGAAGTGTGTGCAAAAGGAAGAGGAGAGGGAACAACTGCTCCTCCACACAGCAGAAGAAGGGGTGGCTTCCAAAAGATGATCTGTCCCTTGTAACTGACAGTGATGTAGGAAAGACTTTTAGAGAAATGCCTCTGTATTGACAGGGGATGGGGGCAAGTTCAGACTAGGTATTCGCATGGTGCAGGCAATGCTGGGGGAATTGAGTCCCATCTTCGGAAGTGAAAAGCAGTGTCAAGGCTCTGAACTCATATTTTCCTAATCCAAGTCTTTCAAGAGGAAAGGGACAAGGCATAAGGATAAGCAATCTGTAGGGCAATCTATGGTGTGAAAATAATTTTCCTCAAGCCAGTTTAAGATGTTACAGTCTCATACATTTCAAGAGTGAACTACTGAATAGTTGCACGCATCACACCATTAAACACACTACTCCCTTATCAATCTTCAGTCACCTTTGCTCAGAGCAGTGATTTAGACTGATATATAGGAAATTACTGTAGCACATGGATGAATCCCATTTCAATCAGTCAGCCTGCTTGAGTGATTTCCTGAAGCTGGGCTCCTTCTTTTTAATTTAATGCAGTGATAAGACTATCTTTTTTATCCCAGTCATGTGTACATACCTTCACAGAGTGCTTTGCTCCTTGTTGCCAAGGCAATGAGCTATGTCTGCATGTGAAGGAAAAATGGTGTGTTAATACTCTGCAAAAGAGAACCGACCAAATGAATAAATAGGTGTAAAACAGATGTGTACAAATACAAACGTGTGATATTAGATTGTTCACAGGATGTGAACAATCAGGCTAGGTACAAGAAAGGTTAGGAGATGCAGTGTTTGTTATCCAAAAGGTGGGCCACGTGTGCCCCATGAGACAGAGCTTGTCCGGGGCCCAGAGGACCTACAGGTTCAACCAAACAAGATAAAAAATTAAAAGAGGGAGAAAGGTGAGAGATTGAGGTACAGGGCCCCACCAGGAACCTCCCTAGAGTCAGGGCTTTTACCTCTTTTCTAGGGACCATCACAAAAAGAGATCAGACAGCCAAAACCAACTGGAAGAAACATGAGAAAGATTCAGTCTCCAAAGTTTGAGATCAAGGAGCTATTGCTGCAAGGGAGACTTAGATGAAAGTCACATCACAGGGAGTAGGCCTCTTTCACCTGTTTTCTATTTTAGCCTCACACACTTGAATGCCTCCCAAAAGAAAAGCCTTGGGCTCTGTCCCATCAGAAAGCCTGCTCTTTTCTTTCTGTACGCAGCCCTGCATTGTCCTCACACCACTAGGTGAAGAGATGCCTCCAAGAGGTCAATTTACTCTGGCAGGGGGTGGGGAGCCATGAATCTCTATTCTTCTGTGTTCAAGCTCAAAGAGAAACTAAGAAGCTGTTGTGTGCACCAGCTCAGCCATGCACTCTACTGGAGAGTAAATAAGACCCCAGCCTTTAATCTGCACTGAAAGGAGGTGGCATGCAGGGACCACAAACAGGCGATATGCCTGAGGAACAATGCTGTTTGACCAGCACGCACTTGCAGACTTGGCCACGCACTCGGACACACACTGTGCACTCCTGACCTTCCACAGTAGCAATACACATTCCTGCAGAACACAGGCTACCACTATTGCCCTGAAACATATGTCTCCTGCTTGCAGCTTTTACTGCCAGTGCATTCACAGGTGCTTTTGTCTAGGTAACCATGCCAGGACTCTGGGTTTCAGCAGAGGTTCCTGAACCCAAATTTAAGCCATTGTGAGGCTGATAATTTTCTGCATCTAAGGAAAGGAACAAGGAAGTATTGCAAAACTGAAGTTCCGTTTCTGTTTTAGTTTTCATAGAAATTGATTCTGTAAGACTGTTCAAAATTACTTTCCTCTCTGAATTTCAACTAAATTGACTATTCCAAGAAGATAAACAAAGTTCCTTGACCTTCTCTCCTTTTCATGTAAAAGGAAACCCACAAGCATACATAATTCTATGTTTTCCTTAGTAGAAAGATGGCACTTCCCATCTGCCCCAGAAACATGTCAGGACCTCACTATTTACAAACATCCCCAGACAATGAATCACTGAACATGCATATAAAGACACCAAACTGTTTGTTAGGAAACCCAATCTGGACTACTGACCTCCAAGATGTGGTGGGAACAACTACAGCACATGGTTATAACAGTGCAACCACAAAATGGCACAAATTATTCTAGCCACTGTGGGCATCATAAAGCTCAATGTTTATCTGGACTGGGAGTGCTCAAATGGACCTTTGGTGCCAGAGATTCTATGGAGCACTGAAACAAATACTTTCAAGAATGTACAGATCTTAATATTATTTAGAAACTTCCTAGAAATGCCTATGGCAACGATCATCTCCTACCATTCTTCGTCACTTTGCCTCTCACATACACACAATTAAAGCTTTTAAACTACATGTTGGGATGCAGAAGATGGAGTAATTTTAATCCAGTCAGTAAAAGTTAAGGAGTAAAAAAAGCTAGACAGAATATTTAATACGATCCAAAGCAGAAGAAGGAAAGTAGGTGATGTAATCAACTTAGTTACAAACGAGTGTCCTTCAGACCCTTGCTTTCTGTACGCACTTCTCAAGAGGAAGATGCTTTTTTCAAGCATGAGCACCACTCACCCAGGTATAGCAAGGCTGCACTTCACTTCTCCCGGAATGAGGAGGAAATTTTGTGCAGCTACACTAAATAACCCAAGCAATACATGGAAAACTGAGGTCAGTCATATAGTGCCTGGAATTCCAAATTTGCCATTTAAGTTAAAACAGTTTATCAAATGTAAAACATGTAACACTAGATCCAGTAGAATCTTGCTTCTAACAGTATTTCCAAGTCTTGAAAAGTTCAGGTATCAGAATATAAACCGAAGAACCAAGAGCATGATACTCTTGACAGATTTAGTGCTACAGGAAGAAGGAAATGATAAAAATTGAAGGAGTGAGGTGCCTCTAGTGGTAATGTAAGTCAACTTAGAGATTTTCCAAATTCCCATTAAGTGCAGGAGACTGAAGACTTCAAACTATAATCCTTCCTGTGATTACCTACAACATGAAATATTAATGAAGTACTGCTCCATAAACATTGAATCTGAGGTTTTACTCCACTTAAGCCATGACAAATGTTTGTCTTCAAAAGATGTGATTTCATGGAAATCTTTTTTTTTTTTATTCAAAATCTTAATG